TTGTCCATAGAACTAACAAAACTATATGGAAAAACGCCCTTTTGAGTCATCAATTCAAATTTATCCATTTCTGGAAAGTATTTTGCAGTATCAACCAGCTGGTCACGACTTAGAATCTTACCCAAATTGGCCAAGGATGATGCCATGAATCTAAAACTATCAATAAATCGAAGTTTCAAGAAAACCTTTTTCATTTGACCGTTTTTACCCATATAACTATCGACAAATATGTACTTAGTGAATGATAAATATTTTTCTTTGGTTTGAGGAATAACATCCACTCTCTCACTATTGTCACCATCTGCGAATAACTGTTTTATGAACATATGACTGTCGTAACCACTCATGTTGTGAGATATGACTGGAATAAAGTTCGGTAACTTAAAATTCAAATTACAGACAGAATGCGCGGCCCCAAATCTTTTATGACCTGTTATATGACAATGGTCTCTCACTTTTACATCGTTATCATCAAAGGGCTTCTTACAGATACCACACTCTGTTGCATTTGAGAATTCCAACTCTTCCTGAATAGTCAATTTTTTCATTGGAACTACATGTTTCAAATAAGAATTGTAAATGTTCTCTGATTCACTGACTAACTTATCGACAAACTTTTTTGCAGCGTCCTTGCCTCGATAAGTCACAAATTTTGATTTGGAGTCATCAAAGGAACATTTGATAAGGAATGCGAAAGAATACGGTTCGTGTTCGAATGTTTTGTTTGTAAAAGAATGCTCCGGATCGGGTTCACTGGTGAGAATTGGTTTCAAAATTGATTCAAAATCTGCGTAGATAGTAAACGGCACCTTCAACTGTCTCTCAAAATTTTCGAATTTCAATATATTTTCAGGTACTTCCCTACCAAATTTGTCAATTTTCAATTCTGTTGTTGGTGTTCTGGTGTAGATATGATTGCAATCATGTAAGCGATGATTGATCAATTTGCGCTCATCATTAAAATAGATCAAACAACCGTCGCAAAAATATTTTCTACTCCTGTTTTTAGATATTTGAGTAGATACCAATCTCGATAGATCTTTGATCCAACAATAATGACTATTACCGCTCTCATCATCAGTAATGAGTAGCAAATTAACATGTTTGTCTAGCACCTTCTGAGAATAATGTAAAGGTCCAACTATTTCATACTTCATCTTACTATCTTCGAATATATTCTCTAATCCGTAAACGTTAATGGAGCAGTCATTGAGGCCCTCAAATTTTGAAATATCGCGTAATTTGACTGGGAAATCTATACCTGTTATGTTTAAAACAGTGGAGAAATGAGGGTATGAAGATATCAAATGACTGCGTACTGCTGCTGGATATAATGCTGACGTTACAGCCCATGCGAAACAATGCTGGTCCTCGTTTTGGACATTCACCACCGCCATCTTCTTCTGGATAAACTTGGGCAGCTCCATATATGAAGAGCCTCGTAGTGGACTGAACTTGTTGATGTTGCACTCGAGGAATAAAATTTTCTCCAAAACCCAACCTTAAAATAAAGAAAAAATGATGAGAATACAATTGAAAATGAATTTATGTAAGGATATACATCTAATAGCTGTACACCACATCACAGCATAATGTCGAAGAGATACTCGAGAAGGAACCTCCCTAACCAATCAACAAATCATAGGTCGCCTCCTACTTCTACGTCAAGAATCACCCAACCAACGGCGACTGGTGTTTACACAGTCCTCCGAATTTCAAAGCGATATCCGTTTCCACTCCACTGCACGCTCAAGGCCACCCACGGTCCGGGTCGATGCGAACAGCTGCAGGTCCTTTCAGACCCCTTCGAAGGCCCACATCGTCTCACGCTCAAGACCACCCACGTCCAAGGTCGCTGACGTCACTGCGGCGACGGTGCGGTGCAGTCACATGCTCAAGACCACCCACGTTCGAGGTTGCTGCATCGCTGCGGCGGGTCTTTTCAGACCCCTTCGAAGGCCCACATCGTCTCACGCTCAAGACCACCCACGTCCAAGGTCACTGACGTCACTGCGGCGACGGTGCGGTGCAGTCACATGCCCAAGACCACACACGTTCAAGGCCGCCCACGTTCAAGGTTGCTGCACCTCTGAGGTGCACTCACATAACCCTCCTACTAACCTATTCCCAATTATATGTCTGTGTTTAGTAAGCACTATAGGTACTCAGAAACCGATTAAGAAGATAATTTCATATCAAGAAAATATTTTTATGTTCAATCTATTTTTAATGCATTTTTCCATTCAAGGGAAATGGAATCCTAATGCAAAAGTTCATTTTGACAAAAGGCTTCAGAAAAGTACCTCGAAAATGTTTTTTTACAGCGATTTAATGTGCGCAAGACGCGTTAAAAATGTTTTGATGTGTCCATGAAAAGGCTTTAAAAAGAACTAGGGAGAAGGTAGTTTTGTGACATATCAAGGACATCTCGATAATTGCCGACTGCGGCGGACATTGGCTGTTCTATAATAGTTCTATTCATGTGTGAACAGAACGTCGCAGTGGATCTTCAATGTCTCGAAATCTCGTACTTTTAACATCTCTGAGATGTTTTTGTGCTCGCTGGGATGTCGAATAGCTATGTCAGCCGATATTTCGCTGCTATGGTAATGGGGAAGACCACTGAGGGAAGAAATCCGTGCAAACCTCTTTCAATGTACAATCAATATTATGAGTTGAAGTTGAAGGGAATCGAATCTATATCGTTTTGAAATCAGCATATTTCATTCGATATTTCAAACAGCCGAATATGATGGTGGAGTCGTGACGTTTTAGTCCCGAACTGTAGCTATCTCTCTCTGATACCTCGTCATTCTGCAGTGTTGCAATGTAATTGGTCAGTTCAAGGACAATAGGCGTGTTGGGACTAAGACGTCACACCAGTCACACCAATGAATTGATGAAATTTAAAATGGCGCAGGAATTGTGTGTTTTGAAATGGACATATACTAATTTATTTTTATCATCGTCTTAGCATGAATGAAGAAATTCAAAATTAATTCACTGGTAGTTTTTCAGTATATGGAGTTCACGATAATGTCGTTTTAATCTGCATTTATCGAAACCATATCTACCAAGATTTTCATAGTTACAGTGACAAGAACGATGTGACACTTCCCGGCCTTTTTTTATGTTCTGGTTCCCACGAAAAGGGATATCCTGTAATGTTCAGAGAACATCGTGAGAACCAAGGGAAATTATGTAGGAATTGGATGGTGTTCTTCTTAAATTTCTGGAGGTTATACACTCCAGTTCCAAAAAAAGTGACACATTTGATATTTGACCTATCATCTTAAAAAAAATAGTAGGCCGATTTTTATTTATTTTTTATTTGGTGCTCAATACCGTGTATTGCCTCCTCTAGCAACTCTAAGAACTTCTAATCTACGAGGCATATTGGAAATTAAGTTGCTTATCGTTTCCATTGGTATACGATCCCATTCTTCCACTAATGCATCTGCCATTTCTGCGAGACTTTCCGGAGACCTCTCGCGAGAACGTACCCTTCTCCCTAATTGATCCCACAAATGGTCTATACGATTCATATCGGGGCTTCTCGCAGGCAGAAGTTTCGCACTATTGCTGCGGTGTGTGGTCGGGCATTATCCTGCATCAATATAAAATTATTGCTCACTAACTCTGCATAAGGTAAGACATACCTACTGCTCTAAAATGTCAATGTAAATTTGGGCATTCATCGACTGCCTCACCGGAAAAACATGAAGGGGTGTCTTTCCATTCATTGAAATCCCTCCCCACGCCATAACGGACCCACCAATAAAACTTTCGCATTCTGTTATTAGATTTTGATCAAACCGTTCACCAGTTCTTCTTCACACTCTGTTTCTTCCATCCACCATGTCAAGGCTAAACCTTGACTCATCCGTAAACAAGACATTCGACCATTCAGGAATATTCCACTGTCCATAATTTTCAACAAAATTTCTTCTAGCAGCACGATGTTCGGGCAATAATTTGGGACCTTTTGCAGGTCTCCTAGCTTTCAAATTAACTTCTTTTAGACGTCTACATACCGTCTGCTTACTTACTGCAACATCACGAATTTGGCGAAGATCTTGCTGAACATTTACCGCAGTATTTGATCGATTCCGTAAAATCCGCAATCTCAAGAAGCGATCATCTCATGGAGAAGTTTTTCGGGGGCGACCAGAACCGACCCTCTGAGCGGTGCTTCCTGTTTGTTCGTACTTGCGGATTGCTCTACGAGCAGTTGCTTCATGAACTCCCACTGCACGAGCGGCGTAACGTTTACTACGCCCATCGTTTACTAACGCAACTAATCTTGCTACTTGTTCAGGATTTATTTGAGGCATTTTATGTAATTTTAGTCAATGAAACAAGACACTTTATTGATGACACAACGACTAATGGTCAAATATGGAGGCGTACAACAAATTAGTTGCTATGGCGACGGCATTTGTTTTTTTAAAGACAATGTGATCCTACCAGAGTACAACCCAATCAATTTTGAGTACTCTGATCTTTCAATAAATTTAATTTGTCGGATAAGCGTAAGGTATCAGTAAAAAATCTGTATTTCGGAGAATTTTAGAGATAAATCAATGAATAAAAAAAACAAAATGCTCGCAAAAGAAGCCTCTTTCGTATAGGGTGCAAGCACTTTGTATACCATTACTCAATTAACACACAGGGTGAGTCAAAAATTAAGAATAAATCATGGTTCGAGTTATTCCACCACCATCAAGGAGGCTTTGAAAAAATGTTCACCTCTTTATTTTTTCTTCAAAGACAAATGCATTACCTACCAACAAATTAAAAAAATAAAAATCGGCCTACTATTTTTTGTGTTTTTTTTTTAAGAAGATTGGTCAAATATCAAGTGCGTCACTATTTTTGGAACTGAGAGTACTTTTAGCTGTTTGAAAACCGAACTGGTAGGTGCTATAGAGTGCGATCATGAAGTTATAGAAGTAGAAGGTTATTGATTACCGGGATATCAAAAAAATACCAAATATTTTATATAAATTCAGTTTATTCCTTATTGAAAATAATATCATTCCAATTAATAATAAACATTCGAATAATTGTTTGAAAGATCATAGAAATTGTTCACTGAACTTCCATTGTCGATGCCAGTTCTTGTCTGACAGCTTCTGCGGCTTCTGGCATTTCCAGTCCTTCGAGAATATAAATGAAGTTTTCCAGAGTTGCATCTTCATCGTCCTCGAACCACAACTGCAACATGTTCCTCGCTTGTTCCATCAAAGTCGGATTCTCGTTTCTGAAAAACTCGATTTCGTCTGATTTGTATCCTGAAAAAAAAATCTTGTTGAGAATAATCGTCGACGAATATTTTTCTTTCGACTTTCGGAAAATTATCGTTTTTTCACTACCTACTCTAGAACCAACCACTTATTCCTTGTCAAGTCGTGTTATTTCAAAGCCAAGGTAGTTTTTTTGTTTTATAAATTACTAGCTTTTAGACTTTCTTTTATACAGGGTGTTTCAGACTTAAATGAAAATACTGTAAAGATATTTCCCTTAGAGGGGCTCTAGAAACATCATCAGGAAGGCAGGAGTACAACGATCATCCTTTAACACGCATCCCAGATTGTTCTCTAGCATCCCAATGATTCCTACATGTACCAACATATTTCCGAACACTCAATATATGTCGCGATGACAAATAACGTGACAGAAGATTCTGGAACAAAAAGAAGGAGACGGAAGATCATTCGAGAACGATCTCGAACCAAAGCCTTCCAAGGGATCTCATATATAAACGGCCGGACAACTGCCGTCAGTCAGTGAAGCAGCGAGTGTCAGAGAGACAGTCATATACCGCGTAATATAAATAGTTTTTTTTTATCTCTTGGAGCGCACGAAAGGGAATCCCTATAATGTTCAGAGAACATCGTGCGTGCCTAGGGAGGATAGGAACAGGAGGTAGGTATTGGAATTTTTTTGAACTTTTGGAGACTATATGCTGTTGGGAATACTTCCACAGGCAATGAATTCTAGAGCCTAGCCGTTCTATGGATGAAGGAGTCTTGATAAAGTGCTGTTCGACATCTTTCGAGGTTGACAACGAAAGGATGTGCTGACTGGGCTGTCTAGTTCGTCTGATTGGTATCGCTAGTGAAGGGATGATAGCAGAGATTTCCGAAGAACATTTCCCGTGGAAGTATCGATAGAAAAGTGAAAGGTCGCCGACCTTTCTCCGGTGTTCCAATGATGTCAAAGAGTGAGTGAGTGTGGCGTCACCCACCAGGCGAATGGCTCTTCTCTGGATGGAATCTAAGAGCATCAGCGTATGTTTTGGTGCTGAACCCCATATGTGGGAACAGTATTCTAGAACAGGCCGTATCTGCGCTTTGTAGATCATGATAAGCTGTTGAGGTGTAAAGTAGCTTTTCGCACGGAACAAGAATCCGAGTTTTTTTGAAGCAGCTTCTGCGATGGATCTGACATGATTATCCCATGAAAGAGTGTTGCTGATGGAAATACCGAGCATAGATATGGTGGGCTTGGTGGGGATGGTGAAGCCAGACATTACAATATCGGGCATACTGAGTTCCGCCTTTCTAGAGAAAATACAGGCTTGAGTTTTGGTGGCGTTGAATTCAACCAGGTTGTTGGTTCCCCAGGCTGTGATTTCAGCAAGGTCTTCATTGACAGCATTGACCTGCCTGCGCCGTGAGTTCTTAGTTTCCTGGGAAGAAATGGGAATTCTAGAAGAGAACGCAGTATGGAGGGTACTATCATCTGCAAAGCTGTGGATGGGGCAAGTTGTTACTCCCAACAGATCATTGATATGAAGCAGGAATAAAGTTGGTGCCAAAATTGATCCTTGTGGAACGCCGGAATTGATGCCAATGGTATCAGACGATACACCGTCCACCACCACGTGAAGCGATCTGCCTGAAAGAAAACTCGATAAGAGATGGCATAGCTGAGGTGGTAAGCCGTATGATGGTAGTTTGTGGAGGAGTCCTTCGTGCCAAACACGGTCGAAAGCTTTCGATATGTCCAACGCGACAGCTAGAGATTCCCCGTGTTTTTCCAATGAAGCTTGCCATAAATGGGTGGCGTAGGCAAGTAGATCTCCAGTATATCTTACATAAATAGTAGTTATGAGTTCGATATAAATTAGAGTTTCTTTAGTTCAAATGGTGAGTCGTTTTGATCAATAATGAATAGTTACGACACAAAAAAAATCCTAAAATTGAAAAATCTCGGTTTTGAACACCCCAAACTCCGTAAACACTCCTGCTAGACCCCAAGTGTGGTACATTGATGAAATCAACTCTTCATGAAGAATCTGAAAATGCGATAAAATACAGGGTGCTCCATTTAAAATATCGAAGTTGCTAGTTGTTTCTGATAGAAGTGGCAACACTGTTTCGATGAAAATATTTTAGACGCTTAGAGAATGTTCAATTATCAAAGCATCCCAATTCCAATAATGTTCTGTCTTTTTGTTCTCCAGATACTTCTAATAGGCCACCCACCGTGGATCGCCCTGTATATTAAAGAAAAAATGTATATAGCAAAACTACGTTTGCGAGGGCTGCTAGTAATGTATAATATGATGATTTTCCTGTTTGCATGAAATGAATTTAAATTGAATTGAATTGAAAAAAAAAAACAATTTGTTCAAAGCAGAAAAGTTATTCATATTTTAACAGGGGCAAAATTTCAGAGTATGGAAACTACTCACCCAATTTGACGGCCAACTTCTCCCATTGGCCGGACACTTTTTCGCTGAACAGATTCAGTTGCGGCAACGTGATGTTTTTGTGCTCTTGTCTGACAGTTTGCTCGTCGACGAGCTCTTCTGTCTCGTTCTGTTTCAGTTCTTCGGTCGCCTGCTCCTCTTCGGTCAGTATGTTGTCGAGTTCGTGCTCGTTTTGGCTGTCCTATTATACCAAAAAAAATCTATCTCATTTTACAATTCATTTCAATTTATTAGAAAAGAATAGAATACATTTATTGCTTAAAAAATATACATTTCATAGCTATGATTTGAAAGAACACATACATACAGTGTGTCCCACTTACCATGCTCACCATGGGTATCTTTTTAACGGTGAGAGATACGAAGTCGGTTAAATGACACCAAATGTGGAGTTTGTCAAGGCCAACTATAATGTGAAAAAATATTTCGATAAAATCTATTCGTTTTTGTTTTATACGCAAAAAACAGATTTTGATCATTTTCATGTCTCCTCCGTAACTTCTTTATTTATGAAAATATTCAAATAGGAATTTCACATTCTCATGGCAGTTTTTCAAAGTGATTTCGAAAAAAATATGAAATTTATACCAACTCTTCTAGAATTTGAGATATCAGCACCAACTTTAGTTTTTCAAATGTAGCTCATAGCTCACTATAACTTAGTTACAAATAACTTTTTTTTCTCTTACAGATGATATGTCGCAGTTATAGTTTTGTGTTGATAACAACGGAGTTATCGTCATTTATACGAAAACAAAAAATTATTTGAAAGCCGCCATCTTGAATTTATAATTTTCAATAAAAAAATCATGATCTCCGACCTCAAAAACCCTTACTTACCAATATTGAATGGAATCGGACCAAACCTTGTCCGCCATCTTGGAGCAGCCATTTTTTTGAATTTCAACAAAAATTCCATAATGTATTGTCACCGAAATTATGAACACCTGCCAAATTTCAACTTAATCGGAGTTATGAAATTTTTGTTGAAATTAAAAAAAAAGGCTGCTCCAAGATGGCGGACAATATTTGGTCCGATTCCATTCAAAATTGGTAAGTAAGGGTTTTTGAGGTCGGAGATCATGATTTTTTTGTTAAAATTTATAAATTCAAGATGGCGGCTTCCAAATAATATTTTGTTTTTGTATAAATGACGATAACTCCGTTGTTATCAACACAAAACTATTACTGCGACATATCATCTGTAAGAGAAAAAAAAGTTATTTGTAACTAAGTCATAGTGATTTATGACCTACATTTGAAAAACTGAAGTTGATGCTGATATCTCAAATTCTAGAAGAGTTGGTATGAATTTCATATTTTTTTCGGAATCACTTTGAAAAACTGCCATGAGAATGTGAAATTCCTATTTGAATATTTTCATAAATAAAGAAGTTACGGAGGAGACATGAAAATGATCAAAATCTGTTTTTTGTGTATAAAACAAAAACGAATAGATTTTATCAAAATATTTTTTCACATTATAGTTGGCCTTGACAAACTCCACATTTGGTGTCATTTAACCGACTTCGTATCTCTCACCGTTAAAAAGATACCCATGGTGAGCATGGTGAGTGGGACACACTGTATACAGAGTGTTTCTTAAAGACATGCTAATATTCGAGGGGGTGATTCTTCGACTCATTTCAAGAAGAAAACTCCATATGAACGTATGTCCTAAAGGTCTTAACTTTTGAGATACAGGGTGATAGAGTTTTGAAAAATATTCAGTTTTTTGATAATAACTGAAACAATATTCTATGCATCTCCATTAAATTTGATACACGTCTTTTATGCATCAAGGTGCATTTTCTGATGAACAAGAATTTTCATTTTCTCTACCAGTGGCACCGTTACGGAAATATTATTGTTTAAATTTTACTTAAAAGTGAGCAACGACAAAAAAATTTCAAATTTTATACAATGTCATGAAAGGCTATTTAATTATGTACAAAAAAGATCTTCAAGTTGATACTTGATAGAACGCTTCGTTTTCGCGAAAAAACGGAAAAACAAGACCAGACTTCATGTATGAAAAAAATCTCACCTGCGCCAACTCCTTGCCAGGTCTATCCTGAGCCACCTTCCTCACCATGGTCTCCAAATACGTAGAAAGCGGATTGAGAATTACAGAGCCATAAGTGAAAAAATGCGGACTTCTTCGGGCCAACAGTCGCAAAGCACGCCAGCCGAAATTTCCATCTTTGAGAAGATTTTCTTCGCCATTGGGGGGATTTTCGATTTGTTGGATTGCCTCGGCGAAATACTCGTCCAAAGTGGGAAGGAAGTTCCTACCCTTGCAGGCTTCTAGGTTGCTCGGGCATTGGTTCCACAACCGAGTCAGTTCCCCGCTAGTAAACGATTTTTTTGCATAAAAAAATAGTAACAAGTGCTTGAATTGAAGACAAGTAGCGCCTAACCTCCTGTGGGTCAGTTTTCGGATAATTACTTGTGGTTTTTGTCTCTTTCTTTGAAGAATTTTGTATCACTTTGAGATCATTGATGGTTTCCACGACTTATATCTTGAGAGAACAAGAGAGACTACTTATTCTAAACAATCTAACCTAACTAGGCCAAAATAAACCTTTCTAAAAAGTATATTCTTCGAGAAATTCCTGGAGAGAACAAAGGAGATTACTATTTCTTAACAATCTAACCTTAATCGACCTAAATGAACCTTCTAGCGGATTGAGAATCACTGAGTCATAAGTGAAAAAATGCGGACTTCTTCGGGCCAACAGTCGCAAAGCGCGCCAGCCGAAATTTCCATCTTTGAGGAGATTTTCTTCGCCATTGGGGGGATTTTCGATTTGTTGGATTGCCTCGGCGAAATACTCGTCCAAAGTGGGGAGAAAGTTCCTACCCTTGCAGGCTTCTAGGTTGCTAGGGCATTGGTTCCACAAGCGAGTCAGTTCCCCGCTAGTAAACGATTTTTTTGCATAAAAAAATAGTAACAAGTGCTTGAATTGAGGACAAGTAGCGCCTAACCTCCTGTGGGTCAGTTTTCGGATAATTACTTGTGGTTTTTGTCTCTTTCTTTGAAGAATTATGTATCACTTTGAGATCATTGATGGTTTCCACGACTTATATCTTGAGAGAACAAGAGAGACTACTTATTCTAAACAATCTAACCTAACTAGGCCAAAATAAACCTTTCTAAAAAGTATATTCTTCGAGAAATTCCTGGAGAGAACAAAGGAGATTACTATTTCTTAACAATCTAACCTTAATCGACCTAAATGAACCTTCTAGCGGATTGAGAATCACTGAGTCATAAGTGAAAAAATGCGGACTTCTTCGGGCCAACAGTCGCAAAGCGCGCCAGCCGAAATTTCCATCTTTGAGGAGATTTTCTTCGCCATTGGGGGGATTTTCGATTTGTTGGATTGCCTCGGCGAAATACTCGTCCAAAGTGGGGAGAAAGTTCCTACCCTTGCAGGCTTCTAGGTTGCTAGGGCATTGGTTCCACAAGCGAGTCAGTTCCCCGCTAGTAAACGATTTTTTTGCATAAAAAAATAGTAACAAGTGCTTGAATTGAGGACAAGTAGCGCCTAACCTCCTGTGGGTCAGTTTTCGGATAATTACTTGTGGTTTTTGTCTCTTTCTTTGAAGAATTATGTATCACTTTGAGATCATTGATGGTTTCCACGACTTATATCTTGAGAGAACAAGAGAGACTACTTATTCTAAACAATCTAACCTAACTAGGCCAAAATAAACCTTTCTAAAAAGTATATTCTTCGAGAAATTCCTGGAGAGAACAAAGGAGATTACTATTTCTTAACAATCTAACCTTAATCGACCTAAATGAACCTTCTAGCGGATTGAGAATCACTGAGTCATAAGTGAAAAAATGCGGACTTCTTCGGGCCAACAGTCGCAAAGCGCGCCAGCCGAAATTTCCATCTTTGAGGAGATTTTCTTCGCCATTGGGGGGATTTTCGATTTGTTGGATTGCCTCGGCGAAATACTCGTCCAAAGTGGGGAGAAAGTTCCTACCCTTGCAGGCTTCTAGGTTGCTAGGGCATTGGTTCCACAAGCGAGTCAGTTCCCCACTAGTAAACGATTTTTTTGCATAAAAAAATAGTAACAAGTGCTTGAATTGAGGACAAGTAGCGCCTAACCTCTTGTGGGTCAGTTTTCGGATAATTACCTGTGGTTTTTTGGTCTCTTTCTTTGAAGAATTCTGTATCACTTTGAGATTATTGATGGTTTCCACGACTTATATCTTGAGAGAACAAGAGAGACTACTTATTCTAAACAATCTAACCTAACTAGGCCTAAATAAACCTTTCTAAAAAGTATATTCTTCGAGAAATTACTGGAGAGAACAAAGGAGATTACTTTTTCTAAACAATCTAACCTAACTCGGCCTAAATGCCTTCTAGCAGATAGAAAATAACCGAGCCATAAGTGAAAAAATGCGGACTCCTCCGAGCCAACAACCGCAAAGCGCGCCAGCCGAAATTTCCATCTTTGAGGAGATTTTCTTCGCCATTGGGGGGATTTTCGATTTGTTGGATTGCCTCAGCGAAATACTCGTCCAAGGTAGGAAGGAAGTTCCTACCCTTGCAGGCTTCTAGGTTGCTCGGGCATTGGTTCCACAACCGAGTCAGTTCCCCGCTAGTAAACGATTTTTTTGCATAAAAGAAAAGTAACGAGTGCTTGAATTGAGGTCAAGTAGCGCCTCACCTCCTGTGGGTCAGTTTTCGGATGATTACTTGGGGTTTTTGTCTCTTTCTTTGAAAAATTCTGTATCACTTTGAGATCATTGATGGTTTCCACGACTTATATCTTGAGAGAACAAAAGAGACTACTTTTTCTAAACAAACTAACCTAACTCGGCCTGAATGAACTGTTTTCCTAGATTACTATCTTCGTCATTCGAAGAGCTCTCGATCTGCTGAATGACCTCGGCGAGATATATCGACGGAAAAATGTTGTAAATTGCCCTTAATAATACACTATCTGGTTGAATAACTATTAATGACCTTAATATTTTTTTTCAATGCCTCCAATGGGGAAGTTTCCTCCAGATGAATTTTCAAAATAAAAGTTTGGAACTCTCCGGTATTATGTTCACGCTGTACAGAATGGCGACCGATAAAGTCCAAGTCGTTTTCATTTTCAAATTAAAGCAATATCTAATTTTCGGGGCGGCAAAATGTGACGTACATTCTGAATCTAGTCTGGAAATAGCTGATGGTGGAGAATATAGCTATCGAATAGCTAACGAATGGCTAACAAATGGAGAACGAATGAAAAAAATAGAAGGAGAAGAACTGGTAAACAAAAACATACATAACCACAAATGCACTCGGAGCAGGAATGCAGAGGGTAGTTGGCTTCATTCTGACAGGTTATGGTTTTGTTATTTATGCATTGAAATATCTCGAATAGAGCTTGATCATAAACGAAAATATCATTGAATCAATGAATCTCTATCGGCTACATTCAATGATACTATCCTTCCTAATTTGCTGTCATCGGTCAGAACAGAATGAAGCCGACACCCATGGCTCCTTCCTCTTGTTGTGCCTGTCAGTATTTTGAGTGGTGTGGACGGACTCGAAGTATCAGGCGCTGTTGCAAGATATAATCCGCAACTTTCCTAGAAAATGGATCCGTTTCATTAAGGAACGAATCCATTAGCTAAAAAATGACTGACAAGTTATGAATAACATATTGTAATATAACGATAGTGAAAAATAATAGATACTATCGCAAAATATCATAATTTTTCTTCATTAGTAATCAACTTCATTCAGCCAATTAGAGATTTATGGAAATTATTAATACTTGACCAAGTAGGATTGAAGAACCTATTATATCCCATTGCTGTTAAATCTAGACATATTCACGATGTCGGCAACGTCGAACTGGCACTGGGAATCGTATTTTAACTGTGTAAATGTGAATTTTCAGAAAGTACGTCATAGAAATGGTGGAGGAGCCAAGTTCCTCTTTTATGTTTTTTTTTTCCTGAAGTAAAATTTGATCTTACGAAAAAGAGAAAAAATGAGTATACAGGGTGGCCCACATTTCGTTGTCCCACTATTGCTATCTCTGAAAGGGTTAGAGATAGAAAGTTGGTTAAATGGAACAAAAGTTGCACATTTCGGGGGACATAAGAATTATGTCAAAAAATCAACGATATCATGAGCCGTTTCCGAGATAATTGAGAAAAAACAAAATTGTCGATTTTCGTTTTCAGGCGCTAGCCCTTTCATTTCGGGAAATAGAAAAAACCACACAGTTATTTTTTCTTCTATTTAATATGTTCTTTAATCTGGTGATATCAGATTTTTGATACAACGTTTCGTTCATCCAGGGCCACCCTCAACTTTTTTTTTTAAATACGGACCTGATATTTTTTTTCTCAATAAATTGGCCTTTTCATTCTGTATACAGACATGTATCACACTATTAGTATAACCCCACTTATATCATTTTGAAAAAGGTAAAGCCAAAAAGTCAACATTTTGAAATACGGACTGATATATTTTTTAATAAATTGGCCTTTTCATTCTGTATACAGACATGTATCACACTATGAGTATATGGATCATAAGAATTGTTCGAAATGACTTCCACCATTCTGTACATAAAGATTGACTCTCGTTGATATCTGTTCCGTTGCTCTCCTTACCATTTCTGGCGTAATTGACTGGAAAGCCACAACAATTTTTTGTCTCAGCTCTCCTAAATCTGTGATGGAATTATCGTAGATCATATTTTTTAAAGCACCCCACAGAAAATAGTCCAAAGGATTCAAACATGGAGATCGGGGCGGCCACCTTACTGGACCGTTAGTTCCAATCTCGGTTCCAATCCATCGTCTAGGAAATCGCGCCTTCAAAAAATCCCGCACAATTCTTGCATTATGGGCTCCACATCCATCTTGCTGGAACCATAATTGCCGACGAACTTCTAGAGGCAATTCGTCGAACTCATTTTCCAGATTGTTTTGGAGCAAATCTAAGTATTCAACTCCGTTCACCATATTTAATATATTAAAACGAAAATCGACAATTTTGTTTTTTCTCAATTATCTCGGAAAAGGCTCATGATATCGTTGATTTCTTGACATAATTCTTATGTCCCCCGAAATATGCAACTTTTGTTCCATTTAACCAACTTTCTATCTCTAACCGTTTCAGAGATAGCAATAGTGGGACAACGAAATGTGGGCCACCCTGTATATTATTTTTTTTTTAAACTTCACAGTGAGATAAGAACTTCAATATAGGAAACTTCCCCATTAAAGCGATTCAATTTTTCAAAATAACCTCTTTTCCAACTAGAAAAAATGCCCATATTTCTATTCATGTTTAAATTGACATTCCCTTCAAAATAACTTTGTGGCTTTTTTCAATTTCTCTATGATTCAAATCATATATCTACTACTCGTATATGAATCATAGCTGCTGTCCTCAAAGCAGGACCAACTTCTGTCTCTTCAGGTAACGAAATCGACGAATAGGCGTTGATGCCGATGTAGGGAAAAAATAATACGAAACTTATTAAACCACTATGGCTGTTTCCATCCTTCACTTCCCATCCTTATAGAATCAGAAAGTACCTCTCATTTTGGTCCCATTTTTGTTTAGATATCGTATAGGCGATGTGCCATATATAGAAGTAGTAAATATATGATTCAAATATTCAGATGAAGTAGGTATTTAAATGAGACAATAATGAAAGATCACATACTTTCCAATATAGAATTTTCCTTGCTGATGTGCTTCTTTTATAATATCTCCCAGCAATGGTTTTTCTGTATTTACCCTAGGTTCATCAGATTGAGCAGAAAGTGTTTTCTTGATTTCTGAAAGGAATTTATCTGATTTACATCTCTTCAAATTTAGAATTATAAAATTTTGTTGTATAACAAACAAAAATGTCGATTTTTCCCTTTTGTCAATGGATTCATTTTCCAGGAATCAGGAAAATTCCCGTCTCGAAACATTGAATAATTGTCTCAGTCAAATTGGATGATTATACAGGGTGCTTCATATAAGAATGCAAAGAATCGGTTTTGAATGACATCATAAATGCACTCTGATTACTTAGAAACTTTGTAGGAACTTTCCAAACGTTTTGTCGTACACTGATGTATACCTATGAATTTATATAGTTTGCTGTTTTTAAGTACTCCTATTGAAATTAACTGTTGAAAATTAATGTACAACACTTACCAGGACAGCTATCGTTTTTCCAACCATTCCAAAGTTCTTCTCTGCTCAAAATATTTTTCACAATTTCGGCGAATTCTTCACCATCTGGTGGTGTCTCTCTGAGCAGATTGTAAACTTTTTCAGTGTTATTAATTATCCACTCTTTTTGATCAGATTTCAGTTCATAACTATCCCTATGACAAAAAAATACTTAGGTTTTTTCCAAGACTTCTCCAATGACAACAAAATTTCCATCACAATAGACACAAATTCTAGAACAGTTTGTTACAAATGGGATGCGTGCAAGAACTGTCAGATGACCAACTCTGGAGGCACAACAATGAAACACAACCTCACTTTTCTTATTTGTTTACGAGTGATTGAACTAGTTTTTCACAATTATTTTGGCATACGAATCGAGTTTTTCGGCTATTCATTGATTCGCGCATGTCATCACATTGTGCTGTTGAACAATGCACAAAAAATTGCAGCGAGAGACAAAGGAATCCGGTTGGTACATTATGAGTAAGTACCTACTATAGTCCCTCACATATAGTTTTCATTTTGAAATTCGGTAATTTCTCTGATTTCTGATGGGAATTCCTTCTGCAATAGGAGCTAATAGAAATAGTCCTGATATTTCTAAAAGAATGCAAGAAGATTGGATTCATGTAATCAAACAGGAGGACTGGTCTAACATGCTGACGAAATATGATCGTGTGTGTTGTAGACATTTTCAATCTACACTCAGATTCAAAAAAAGTGACGCGCTTGATATTTGACCTATCTTCTTAAAAAAAAAATAGAAAAATAGTAGGCCAATTTTTTTTATTTGTTGGTAGGTTATGCATTTGTCTTTGAAAAAAAAAATAGCTGGAAATTTTTTCAAAGCCTCCTCGAACCATGATTTATTCTCAATTTTTGACTCACCCTGTGTATTAATTGAGTAATGGCATAGAAAGTGCTTACACCCTATACGAAAGAGGCTTCTTTTGCGAGCATTTTGTTTTTTTATTCTTTGATTTATCTCTGAAATTTTCCGAATAACAGCTTTTTTTGCTGAATCCTTGCAGATTACCAACTTTCTGAATTTATCGAGAAACAATTTTCTAATGAAATGAACTGATACCAATAATTTAAAAAAACATTTTTATTAAACACAAAATTATAAATTGGGATGACTGCTTAATACCGTGTATTGCCTCCTCTAGCAACTCTAAGAACTTCTGAACTACGAGGCATACTGGAAATTAAGTTGCTTATCGTTTCCATTGGTATACGATCCCATTCTTCCACTAATGCATCTGCCATTTCTGCGAGCCTTTCCGGAGACCTCTCGCGAGAACGTACCCTTCTCCCTAATTCATCCCACGAATTCTATAGGATTCATATCGGGGCTTCTCGCAGGCCATTGTAATGTGGTGGTGGTAATACCAGTAGCTTCTAAGAATTTTAGCACTATTGCTGCGGTGTGTGGTCGGGCATTATCTTGCATCAATATAAAATTATTGCCCACTAACTCTGCATAAGGTAAGACATACTGCTCTAAAATGTCAATATAAATTTGGGCATTCATCGACTGCCTCACCGGAAAAACATGAAGGGGTGTCTTTCCATTCATTGAAATCCCTCCCCACACCATAACGGACCCACCATTAAATCTTTCGCATTCTGTTCTTGAATTTTGATTAAACCGTACACCAGTTCTTCTCCACACTCTTTTTCTTCCATCCACCATGTTAAGGCAAAACCTTGACTCATCCGTAAACAAGACATTCGACCATTCAGGAATATTCCACTGTCTATAATTTTCAACAAAATTTCTTCTAGCAGCACGATCTTCGGGCAATAATTTGGGACCTTTTGCAGGTCTCCTAGTTTTTTAATCAACTTCTTTTAGACGTCTACATACCGTCTGCTTACTTATTGCAACATCACGAATTTGGCGAAGATCTTGCTGAACATTTACCGCAGTATTTGATCGATTCCGTAAAATCCGCAATCGCAAGAAGCGATCATCTCTAGGAGAAGTTTTTCGGGGGCGACCAGAACCGACCCTACGAGCGGTGCTTCCTGTTTGTTCGTACTAACGGATTGCTCTACGAGCAGTTGCTTCATGAACTCCCACTGCAAGAGCGGCGTAACGTTTACTACGCCCATCGTTTACTAACGCAACTAATCTTGCTACTTGTTAAGGATATATTTGAGGAATTTTATGACTCTTTAGTAATAATAATAATAATAATAATTTATTTTCCATGTGACAGGTAATTGAATTGGAATAGTCAATAAAACAAGACACTTAATCAATGACACAACGACAAATAATGGTCAAATATGGAGGCATACAACAAATTAGTTGCTATGGCAACGGCATTTGTTTTTTTAAAGACAATGTGATCCTACCAGAGTACTACCCAATCAATTTTGAGTACTCTGATCCTTCAATAAATTTAATTTGTGGGATAAGCTTAAGGTATCAGCAAAAAAGCTGTAATTCGGGAAATTTTAGAGATAATCAATGAATGTAAAAACAAAATGCTCGCAAAATAAGCCTCTTTCGTATAGGGTGTAAGCACTTTCTATAGCATTACTCAATTAACACACAGGGTGAGTCAAAAATTAAGAATAAATCATGGTTCGAGTTATTCCACCACCATCAAGGAGGCTTTGAAAAAATGTTCACCCCTTTATTGTTTTTAAAGACAAATGCATTACCTACCAACAAATAAAAAGAAAATAAAAATCGGCCTACTATTTTTTTTTTTTTAAGAAGATAGGTCAAATATCAAGTGCGTCACTTTTTTTGGAACTGAGTGTATTTGCACTATTTGCAGTATTAGCTTCTATTGCAGAAGTGGCAGAAGGAATTTTAATAAGAAATGACAAAATTTCATGATGAAAACTATGTGACATTACTATTCAATCGAAAAAGAATATTCCTTCGTCTCTTGCTGCTTTTTTTGTGCATTGTACAACAGCACAGAAGCATGCTTGAATTAATGAATAGCGCGAAAAACACGATTCGCATGCCAAAATATTGTGAATAACCATTTCAATCCTTTGATTCCTTTGTAAACAAATGAAAAAAGTGAGGTTGTTTTTCAAAGTTTCACAGGAAAGTGAGGTTGTGTTTCAATATTTCACCTTCAGGGTCGGTCATCGTGCACGCGACTTATGGTTCAATATGTGACATCTACAGGGCGAAATCTAACACCCTTACCAAAAAGCAATGGTTTCGAAAGAAAAAAATAGTAGGAATTAGGTGGTAAATGAAATTCCTGAAACTACGAGATATACTAACGATTTGAATTTGACTGTGGACGTGAAATATTGGAAAACTATCAGGAACTGGAGTAAGACAGATCTTCGAAAATTGACGTCGTGAAGTTGAAGGTCCAGCAACTTCTGACTAGTCAGATACTTCGCAAAGTATCCCACGTTCTTGGAACTGTCACTAGCATTGACATAGTCTAATTTTATCCCATGGAATGTGTTCAGAATACTAGTGGCGTGCTAAAAACAAGAGTGGTAATACATTTCTTCAATACTTGATATCAGTACCCCTATCAACGTTGCCAATACATTTTCACGTCTAAAATCACTGACCTTCTCTTAGCTTCTTTCAACTGAGTTTGAAGTTATAACGCATACTATTTTAAATTTCAAAGATTCGCATATTGTGTTTTCGAATATTTATGAATATCAAGGAATCTGATCTATTATTTTGTTTTCAAGAATGAACAACACATTGTGTATGGTTGTGTGTCATTTGAAATTCACAAGGGTTATATTATCGATGAAAGCGCTTCCCCTGAACCCAATGACAATTTTCTTCAACCACCTGTTTGCTCGGAAGTAGACCCAACTTTTTTTTTCAAATGGCACCCTGTATATTTCTGTAGTCCATCTTGTTTGCCTTGATATTCTCTATTCAACTATGTATCACAATTTGATATTAGTATAGGCTGCTTTATCCCCTCCAAACTGTTTCGTAGTACGTCTCTGGATTTCTGGAATTTTGTACATTCTATTGCGAATGATAATATGACAGATATGCTTATTTATCTCGAAAACGGTTTTGAGATGCAGATAAGGTCTTTAAATTGAACGATCCACCCTATGTGGTAACTGAGAGTTGTCTGAGGCGTATTACGTAAGAGTTTGGGGCGTATAAAAAAACCTCTACCCCAAAAAACGTATCATCCTGTGGATTTTAAAAATCTTTGAAATGCTTCATATGATGGTATTCTAGGAAGTATTGACCACACCAAAATTCAAATTAATATATTCAGAAGTGAGCCAGATATTCCAATTAATAGAAAACAAGAATTGAACTTTGACCCTCTGTAACACACTTTTTCGATCAAAATGGTGAGATCTATTCACCTATTTCGGTTTGTACCTTAAAACCTGAATCATCCTCTTTCCTTATTGGTCAGATAATCTTCCATTCCCACTCATGAAGCAAGGTTATGAAATCACCAACTATCACCAAGTTATTAAAAAGTTGAGAAACCTGTCGTTGAATAAATTGAATTGAATACTTCATTCAAAACAGTCGATTTTTTATAGCCAATCCCTACTATTATTATAAATGTGAATGTAAGTTTGTTTGTTACGCTTTCCCGCCAAAACTACTCAACCGATTATCATGAAACTTTATATACATATTCTTAAATGTATTGAAAATGACATCGCATACTTTTTATTGAAAAAAAAATGCTGCGGGTACAAAAAATGTTTTTTTCTTAACGAGAAACAACACAACCAGGAGCTAAAATCTACTACTTTTTTTCCTTCTATAATAAATAACTATTTGGCAGACATGATTGTTGGACACAAAATATCCAACAATTAGGCATGGAACTCTATACGTCGGTACCTTAGATATTAATCATTAGAAAACATATTTTTGGACTCGTGAGTCTCGAATTATTCAGATGATGGAATGAAAACGACAAATATCTAACCTAACTTCAGTTAGGCACTTCGAAGGCGCAAAGTCATTACTGCATATTTTCTGCTTTTTGCTAACCTGACCACGAATGACATTGACATTTGACTATATTGCTGTGAGATGGCTCATCAGAAAAATGTGTGAGTTTGGAAAGTTTTGTATGCTGAGTTTCTGAGATATGAACCGACAAAGTTCGTAAAAACGTCGTATCGGGGTATAATACAAAATTCTAAGAATTAATATTTCAAACAGAGATAGTAATCAAGGATCAAAATACGTTTTCGAAGCCAACAATACTCTGAAACTATAATGTCTCACCAAAATATAACTAGTTGATTTTGAAATAGTGCTCGAATTTTTTTTCCGAAAAATATTTTTTTTACCGTGCCTTGTATAACCCCTGATTTACTATAATTTATGTGATTGAAACTAGACATATTTATGAGTTCCGATCGATAGATTTTCTAGCTTATTTTGTCTCATTAATACTAGAAATAGTAGATTGTTTTATTAGGATCAAAAGTGACACTTTGTTTGACAAGCGAATCTGCGAGGCGGAGCGTTTAGCGAAGCCGAGCGAAAGCAAAATTTGCGAGTCGAACAAAGTCACTTTCGATCCGAATGAAACATGCTATTTTTTCTACAACCGAAACAATTAACTCAAATAAACATGTGAAGTAACCACCAATGCCGTGCCATATGTATGCAATGCAACAAATATTGACAAATAATCCATGTGGTACGAATATTCTACCTGCATTAACAGCAGGTTAAGTTTTCTAGGATGTTCAAATTGTAGTTTCAATATAAATACAACCACAGAGTGACATATTTGTGTATGGACCAGGTGCTCGAATGACGAATACCGCGCCAGTGCCAGCTATAGGAACAAGAAGTGGAAAATGTTAGGTTAGTGAGCATACCAACAATGATAATAATGATTATTTATTCCTCTCCATTCTACACTGTGTTTGACTTGATAATCAAATGAAGCTAAACAATACCGTTGTTTGAGACAAAAAAACTATTGCTTGCCGTGATTATTCAAAAACAAGTTATCCATCCCGACAATAACGAATGAAATACAGATCAAGCAAGTATTTGAATCTTGAAGGCTTCCCTGATCAAAACAAAAATACTCAACTGAGATGTTTATAATTCCAATACTAAACTATAATAAGGTGTATTTATAACTCCAGCATGGGTATGAAATGCCAAATCTGTTGAAATCGGAAACAAATCAGGTATGCGTCTCAACCCAAATAACCAACCGTCACAATGTTGTTTATTCTTGATGACGTCCAGTAGATCCTTTTTAGTTCCTAGGAGCTAAAGTTCAACTTTAGCTCCTAGGAACTAAAATTCAACTTTAGCTCCTAGGAACTAAAATTCAACTTTAGCTCCTAGGAACTAAATATGTTGCCTGGCAACATACCTATTTTTGTGTCAGTAATCGAAACGTCAATTTAAGAGCTGATTTTGGTATCAAAATGGACGACTTTTGTGTCGGTTGCAGAAAAAATCAATTGTCCCAAAATTGTCCCCTATGTATTGTGGCTTATGGCTTATGATATATTTGCGTAAATAAATATCATATTAATTCACACTAGAGGATATTTGAACCGGTAAAAGCTCGGGTGAACGTGTTGTGGGCGTGGTCTTGTAAGTTCTAACCATTCAGCATAATGTTGCCAAGTCTCCAACATTTACATGATATTTTGTTATGAAGTATAAGAAATATCTGGATATGCTGGTTGCTCGAAAAAGTGAAGAATTACCTATGGGTATAATATCATGGGTTCCTCCTATTATGTTTTATTCAACGATAGGACTCTAACATATTTTTGATAACTTGATTATAATTGGTGAGTTGGCAACCTTGCTTCAAGGGTGGCAATGAAAGATTATCTGACCAATAACGAAACAGCGTAAAAACTGGCGTCACCATTTATTCGACGTATCGCCAAATGTCGGCCATGACGGTACGTTTGAAATGAGCTCTGAGTTTCAACAATTTTGAACAACACAAAGACTCATTATTTACATAGAAAAGCGTGCGAAGTATTGCTTCGTCCTTTTTACACGTTTGAAAATTACCGTGGCATTATACAGGGTGCTGCGAAATTCGACCGACAACGCTTGACAGGCGATAGCTTTCGTGATTTCATAATCACTGAGATAGGGACATACGATCCTCAAATGTTCAGTTCTCGCCCTGTTGAGGTTGAGAAATAATAATAGTTTTTTCGCAATATCTCAGATTTGATTAAATATTTCACATTCAAATTCGGTATATGGTTTCATCTTTCAATGGTTCATTTTCTGACAAGAAAGATAGTGGTTCTTCATCCAGAGGTGCACTACAGGGGGTTGTGATAACTTTTCCTTCCATATTTTCCACGCCACTGATGGAATTCCGATTATTTCCAATTTCTCGAATCAATTGTTCAATAATGTTGAAAGAATGCATCACCTTCAATTAAGCTGAAATGAACAGTTCTAGAGATATTTGACCCAAAATAGGAAGTTTGCATAGTAATTTTTCATCTTCCTCGGTAGTAGGAAATTACAAAAATATTTGTTTTCTCTTTATGCGTGGAATAACTATTTCTATTCAGCTACAGAATGAGATCTGAATAATATCTAATCTACTCAACACCAGAAAAATATTTTTGTAATTTTCTACTACTGAAAATGATGAAATATTACTATGTTATCTCCTATTTCGGGTCGAACATCTCGAAAACTGTTCATTTTAGCTCAGTTGAAGGTAATGCATTTTTTGAACAATGAATTTGAGGAATTGGAAATAATCGGAATTTCATCAGTAGCGAAGAAAATGGCTCCGGAATGATATAGCAATGTTCAAAATGACGAATTTTGAAACGGCGATGTTGAAATAACGATGATTTTAAACAGCGTGTAATACAATAGCGACATGTAAAACAGCGACGTATCAAAATGGCGATAGTAACAAAATAGCACTTATAACATAAAAGCGATGTTATTTTAAAACGATGTAAGAAAAGAACGCTCTAATAGAAACCATTTATTGAATTATCTTTGCATTACAAAATATACTGATAACACTATGGAATAGAACATATACATTCATAATATTGCATGAGTTTATATCATATCGACAAATTCAAAGCAATGGCCTCTAAATAATCCTTAACACACCGCAATGTGTACCCTTGCGTAATAGTTTGGAGGCGTTTCTTCAACTGAGTATACTTGCTTTTAACGGACTCTGTAGTCCTAAAACCAGCTCTGTATCTCAAGGTGAAGTTTTCAGTTTGGGTTTGTTCCAAAAGAAATCTGTCCAAAAGTTTAGACAATGAAGGACGATGGCAATCCATAGCTCTTTGGAAGGCATCATGCCATGCCTCCAACGAATTATTATTTCTCGGGATATCTGTATTGATTCGATCATATATGTTCCACATGGGTATAGGGTATTTTGGCATAACTCCTTTCAGTCTCCTTCCTACATAGGTATTTTCCCAATAATCTGTTATAGTAGTCATTTCGACGGGAAACCCTTCTTCTTTAATAATTTCGTACGCAAACTGTACGTCTCCTGTTGGAACGAAACTCAATGCGAGCAGGGTTTTACATTTCAATCTGACTTCCTGTCTGTTCACATATAAATTAGCTAGTCCTCGGGTTTTCTGAATTTGACGCCAAAGGTTTTGAGAAAGATGAAAAAACATCCGCTTACATCCGATTTAGAAAAGATTTCTTTGAATGCATTCACAGCTCCTATTTCAGAATCAAACATAACAGATTTAGGTTCTAGCGTTGGCTGTAACTCTTTTATTTTTTGGAACAGCCTGGAGTAAGTCTCCTTTTTCTTGCTACCAAGATTTGCGTACAGCATCGGAATTGCTTTATTTCCCATAAAAGCAGTATTGTGTAGATCTGTAAAGCAAACTCAGGTGCTATCTTAAATGTTCCGTCAGCACACCAAAGATTAAATTCGGTCAATGTCTGCATGTTCGCATTCGTCCCAAACAATAAAATCCTATCACTTGTGTCTACTTCACTAGAATCGAACAATAAGTAATTGTCACCTTTCAACGTTTTGTGATACTTTAGAGTTATTTTTGATTCAAAATTGAATGAAGTAGAATTTTCTGATTGGTTCCTTTGACGATGGACAATCTGCCTTGAGGCGTTATAATTAGGTAAAGCAACCACACCTTCAGGGTTTACATTTTGCGCGCATTCTTGTATAATCAACCTTGGACGATCATTGGTCATTCTTGCTTTTTTTTTAATTTGATCTTTTACTATATCAGCTTCATTGCTCTCTATATCCGGCCCATGTGTATGTTCACCAGTCGGGGTTGGATGGTCAACATCATCTTTCCTAACTATAAGTCTACCTCTGCATCCAGTCTTAGAACATCGCCAATTTTCGGTATTAATATACGACTTATCCTTTCTGTATTTGTAACCCCCGAAAAGAAGTATTTTACTACATTTTTGTGAATCTATAAACTGCATTTTCAAACAACTTTGACAATAAACTCATTAATAAATGTCACGTTGATGACAACAATATTATAACTTCTAGCTGCTTAGTAACGTTAACCATCGCTATTTATTCGAGTCGTTTAAATGTTACGGCGACATTGCATAACATATGATAACATCGTGTTTATTTCACATCGCTTTTTTATTACAAAATACATTTTATTACGTCGCTATTTTGTTACACGCTGTTATAGTACATCGCTACTTTGAAAATCGCGAATTCGTAACCCGCTATTTTGAAAATCGTCATTTTGAACATCGCTATATCAATCCGGAGCCAAGAAAATATGGGAGGAAAAGTTACCACAACCCCCTGTAGGACACCACTGGATGAAATGTCCATAATGGCTTTCTGGTCAAAAAATGACCCATTCAAATATGAAACCATATACCGAATTTGGATGCATTATATTCAATCATTCTTGAGATATTGCGGAAAAACTATTTCTATTTCTCAACTTTAACGCCCTGTATCTCGAGAACTGAACACTTGAAGGCCGAATGTCCCCACCTCAGTGATTATGAAATCACGAGGGTTATCACTTGTCAAGCGTTGTCAGTCGAATTTCGCAACAACCTGTAGATGATTTTAGCACCTTAAAATCGACCAAAAAAATCCAAATAGATATGGAATGGAAAGGTAGATGAGTGACGATTCCATTTGAAGACGACAATATTAAATGAGTTTTGCCCATTTGACAAGGCAATGAAAATGACAGTGTCGTTTCAGACTTGGAAATTTTGTATTGACAACATCGATACAGGTACTAGAATTCAAGTACTGCTCACAAAACCGCAGAACTCACCGAACTGAAAAGCTTCCACTGAACTTTGGTGTAACACTGATTGGGATTCCTGAAAAAGTCCTGCAGTTCCCAAAATTTCCGATAAAATGTGAAATCAATCAGATGCTTCTGGTCCCCAGAATTGATCTCCATAACGATGTCATCAGCCGAATCTGTACCATACTCGGTAACGTTCTCTAAGTTAAACTCGCTGACAATATTCAAGCCAGACCTCTCCGAAAACGGGAAAAACTTGGCAAGGAAAAGCAGGATTTTTCCGCAAAACACCGTGGCAGTAGTCCTGGACAATCTCCTCAAGAGATCATTACACAGCCTGAGCAATATATTCTTGGAGCCAGTGAAGAAAAGTTCTTCTTTCCACACGTTAACATTGTTCTCCACAAAACTAAACATGCTCTCGCACGTGTCCAGTGTTAGTGTTTCGAAAATATCTCCTAATAAAACCACTGGAATTGTGGGAGAACTTAAACCTCGTCTGCACAAAGCTATTGAGAAGTCAACGAAGTTTTTGAGTACATAAACATCGACTTCTTCTTCAAGAAGATTCAGTAGAACATCTCGAAGTGTTTGGTCTAAAGGGGTTTTGAAATCTGTTTCTGATTTATTGAATGATTTCACTTTTTGCTCCAGGAGGTCGACGTTTTTCGCGTCGAACGCTTTCTGCAGAACATCCTGTGAATAACAATGAATAAGAGAATAATAATATTAGTATATTGTTTAACGATCACGGGATGATAGTGATGATAACAGCGGCATTTTTGATTTCTTCATCTTGAAGCCATCTGATTTCCTGTCAAGTAATGCTCATCTATTAGACAGAGTTGTCATTACTTGAAATTTTACATTCCATGAGCGATGAGATTTTTTAATAACACTTTTAGCTCAGTAAAACGGTAACGATTAGGACCCAAACCAGGAAAAAATTCAAGTAGGCGGTTTTTCTGTGATTTTATATGTTATTGGAGGTGCTGAATTCGAATCTGAATTTCACAAACAAGTAGTAGCAAAAAACAGCGAAATTTTCGGACTTTCTTCGTTTTTTTGGCCCGTAACTCGGAAATCATACATTATATCCAAAAGACCGCCCTATAAAAAGTTGAAGTAGATAAAATTTCCTAGATAAAATTGTTCTTGCTTATGAATGTAGGACTGAAGGGTGCGGAGATAGTAGATTGTGTAGATTGTAGATTGTAGATGGGTCGTATAGGCTGAGAGACCTCTCGATCACTGCGACCTAGAAGATCTATTGTGATTACCCCTATCTAGTTTTGGTCCTCTAACCCTAGACTTCTGATGAAGCCTACGATTTTCCTGTCGGTTGACTTTTCCACTTCAGCAGGGGTGAGATGGACCTGTTCTAGGTGGTTCAGCCTTTGGCGGACTAATACTTCACATGAGCAAAGTATGTGTTCCGCGGTTTCGGTCGCATTGTTACAAAAGCGGCAAGTGTCAGTCTCCGCCAGACCCATCTCTTTGAGGTGGTACCTCAGAGGGCCGTGTCCTGTGAGAAAGCCTGTGATAAGCTTTAGCTCTGGTTTGCTGAGGCTGAGTAGCTCTTTGGCTCGGTTCTGCGGATGGTTGATGAACCTTTTCGCTTGTCGTTGACCTGGAGTTGCTCTCCAGTAGAAGAACTTTTCAATTTCTGCCCATTTCCTGAGTTCTTCCTTTAGGTGACATTTGCTTATCCCACAAAAAGGATCAGGACCAAAAAGTGCAGATGCTGCACCTTTTTTTGCAAGGCGATCAGCTGCCTCATTTCCTTTGATTCCTTCATGCCCTGGAACCCACATAAGTGTGACTTTGTTGCCCTTTCCCAGTTGCATGAGTGTTTCAAAGCAGTCCCATGTGATCTTTGATGTGAAAACGAATGATTTTAGGGCTTTTAGTGCGGCTTGGCTGTCTGAGCAGATATATATGTTGGCACCCTTCAGACCTTTGCTCAGGCACCTTTGGGCGCAAAGGTTGATGGCATGTATTTCAGCTTGGAAGGGTGCGGAGATAGAGCCAGTTGAAAGTTGACCAAATTTGGATACTTTTCAAAAAATAGCTTTTCTCGTCGGGTTTCGCAGATAATTCATATTTTGCATATCACTCATAGTCCAATAAATAAAGGGAAAAAGTTAACATTAATTACGCACTATTTTCATCTTCCGGTTGGAAGTAGCTTTTGGTACCTCATTAAACATGAGCCAAAGTTTGACTGAAAAACGCGAGCGATGGCGGAGAAAATGGCCCCGAAAGACCAGAAAAATAGGTTTTCAGCCAATATCTCCTAAAATATGGCAGTTTTCGGTTCAGATAAAAATTGAAGTTCAGTTAATTTTCTACAAAAATGGTCCTTATCATTTTTCTCGAAAATTTGCCCGGTTTCGAGAAAAACGGCACGAAGCGCACCTCGAATAATGAGCTTCTGTGTTGTATGCCGGAGAGCACAGTCCGTGTTTTTACACATCGGCGGGGGGACAAATTATTTAATAACTTTGTTAAAAATGCATATTTTCTCATGATTCAAAATTCATGTGAAAGAGGAATTCTGCTGCTATCATACCCTGTGAATTGAGTTACGCTTGACTCTTTTGGCCATATCGGAACATGGGTCAAACTTTCTGCTCCCGGTCAATTTTATTTTATTTTTTTTCGTATTGCACCAATTTACTCAAAATTTTCTTGATTATGGGTCCTCATTAAGTCCTTTGTCATCCCTGAAATTTGTATACCCTAATTTTTTTCAATTTCCATTTAATCTTTGTTTATTGAATCCCAATTTTTTGCTGTTTTTGAAGCGCGGGAAAATTTTGTGAACAACCATCAATTAAAAATTTATACATGCGAGTATACATGATCCGATTGGTTTCTATGATACATCATTTGAAAGCTAAGAAGGTCTACTTTTCGATTGTGCACTTACTTTTTTAGACGAAGTCGTCCATTTTTCAATAAAATTAGAAAAAGCGGGGTCAAGGAAAAACGCACTTTTTTTTCGGTGGTTTTTTTCTCCGTGCTCTTTATTTTTAGCATTTTAACACCTTAACTAGTGTAACGGGGGAATTCCCACCTTTCCATCGATGTATATAAGTCATACCTTTGATATCCCGGGAAAAAACCAGTATATCTAAATGTACACGCTATAATTTATTACTTTCCTTCCTCCGTCGTTCGCCGCGTGTGTGCTCTACGTGGCGCTCGGGTCGTCTGCTACAAACCATGCGGCCACGCAGGGTATGATAGCAGCACAATTCCTCTTTCACATGAACTTTGAATCATGAGAAAATATGCATTTTTAACAAAGTTATTGAATAATTGGTCCCCCCGCTGATGTGTAAATACACGGACTGTGCTCTCCGGCATACAACACAGAAGCTCATTATTCGAGGTGCGTTTCGTGCCGTTTTTCTCGAAACCGGGCAAATTTTCGGGAAAAATGATGAGGACCATTTTTGTAGAAAATTAACTGAACTTCAATTTTTATCTGAACCAAAAATCTATAACTGCCATATTTTAGGAGATATTGGCTGAAAACCTATTTTTCTGGTCTTTTGGGGCCATTTTCTCCGCCATCGCACGCGTTTTCCAGTCAAACTTTGTCTCATGTTCAATGAGGTACCAAAAGCTACTTCCAACCGGAAGATGAAAATAGTGCGTAATTAATGTTAACTTTGCCTTTTTTTCCTCCTTCATTTATTGGACTATCACAGACAAAGCATCATGCACATATTGAAAGAGCATCAAATTTCCTATCGAGCTCATGTAAATTTCGTCATCATGAAAAAAAGAAGAACGGCTGTTAGAGCGCTCGGACTTGGAGGCGTCTTTTAGTCGTAGTTGCCACACTCATGTTCATCCTTTCAACTTATATGATTTGGATCATATGAACCTATATTCATTAAAGCTCTAAAACGTATGAATAGGTCATTGTTTGGTTTTTGTATTCTGTGGGGTGGGGGAAAAAAATTAAAATTCTGTACGCTGGAATTATAGTTGTTATAATTGCGATGCAATAATTCCAAATGCTATAGAGTATTCTTTGAACATCTTGATAAAAAACTGATTAACTATTCAAACTATCAAAAGTATCTATTTTGTGATGAATAAGTATAAGAATCAATTCTCGCTCATGTGGGTTCCAAGGCGCCAACGAAATGAGGCAGCTGATCGCCTAGCAAAAAAGTGCAGAGCTCACATTTTACCTTTCTGTGAGACAAGCAAATGCCACCTTATCACAGAGCTCAGAAAATGAGATTGAAGTGAAAAATCCTACTACTGTTGAGCATCTCCAGGTAAACGAGAAGAAAAGAGTTCTTCAACAATTCGTATGCTAGTGAGTGGTGGAGAGGTGATAACTACCCCTTAGACGGCCTGCCAATCAATCATCCTCGCACACATCATTCTAAAGCTCTTTAGTAATGCTTGTACCGAATTTCAACTTGGCTAAACATTTTTGAAGGTATATTATGATTTTTTCGATATTTTGAGGGGTGATAACTACCCCTTTGACGGCCTGCTCATCAATCATCTTCTCACACATCATTCTAGAGCTTTTTAGTAACGCTGGTACTGAATTACAACATAGCTTAACATTTTTGAACGTCGAATTACTTAAGTAGGCTCTTGATTTCTGAGTCAGTCTGAATTAGTCTGAATCATCTCTGTATCTCATTTCTCAAGCACAGAAACATGTATTTTCCATTAAATATCCTCTTTTCATGATAAAGGTGGATTGAAATATATTTTTTCTACTCACATAACTAAAATGGCATTTATCGTACGGATATGTACCACGCTAAATGATCGATTAATCACGGATTGCCGATCTGTGATTTATTCTAAATATTGAACACGTTACCATAGCAACACGATTTCTTAAACACATTACCATGGCAACGCAGTTCATTGAAGACTGGACACATCTACAACCAATATAACTTATACTATACGTGTCTCGCTGGTTGCATGCAGTTGCATGTATTATGTTCTCAATTCCCATTCCTTTCGAATTATTTTGTAGGTTAGCAGGAATAACAGGTATGTTAATGTAATTTTCGTAGAAAAAAAATCATAGTATGTAACGCGTTTATAAACCCTTCTAGACACTCGTTTATTAAACACTCGCTCCGCTCTGCTCCGCTCGTGCTTAAAATACTCGTTACTAAAAGGACGTTTATAATACTTGTTACATAATATACTAATTTTTTAAATCCGACGCCACTGGTGGTTTGGCTGCTAGGTGAAAACTGGCCGCTAGGAAATTGCTGCTAGCTTCACACCGGTCTCAAGCATTATCTTTTGGAATGCTTCCGTATCCTCGTCGCCAAAATATTATAATTCAAAATATTAAATTAACAAACTTTTGAAGTTTATTTATTTCTCATTCACTGACTGACTGTCAAACTAAACAAGAACTATCTGGATGGGATATATGAACATATACAGAATGTCTATACAGGGTGGTCCGTTTTTTAATACGGAAAATTTAACAGCGTATAGTACTCGTTGAAATAATAAATAAACCGAAATAAACTTCCTATGAACATATACTTTTAAACGCTTCGTTTTCGAGATATAGGGTGTTCAAGTTTCTTAAAAAAATCGATTATTTATTGATTTCTCAGAAATGTTGTAACCCATTGTGATGAAATTCACATATATTGTGGAAATATCATGCAATGAGCTAACTTTTAGACTTATTATAGTTCATGTATGAGTTACATATTTTCAGGGGCGTGCATTTTAAAATACAATTTTTTTGCCCTCTTAGATTTCTTATCTAATAGCTTCGTTTCAGAAGGAAAACTAAAAACCAAACCTATGCACGTCTCTAAACCCAATGAAAGATTGTAATGCATTAAATCTAGTTAGCATTCTCCGTTTACCAGACCAATCATTGCAAATCAATCATTTATGTATTAGAAGAGTCACAACAGGCCATATATAGACCGCAGTGGATATCCTGCTATTTGTTGCCGAGCTAGTACATTTTTACTAGTTAATTTTTGAGATATATAAGGTGTCAAAAATACGCTTCAGAAAAAATATAGTTTTTTAATCAAAAGTTAAATACAGTTCATTATTGCTACGTAACCCAAACTGACGGAAACGTGAGTGAGTATTGATAAAGACTCGAAGCGATTTCTGTATTCTCGAACTGCTGCCATCTGCATACTCTTCAGTAGGTACTAAATCCCATAGGCATATTGACAACGGCAAAATTGGAATAAAATTATTACACTTTTTGATAAAAACACGGAATAACTCCAGTTTGTTATTTCTTTAACATCAGTACTTTCAGAGTGACAGCACATATAAACAGTAGTATTATTTAACTAAAAAATGTTATAAAATCTTACAAGCGAGCTTTCTCCATCGAAACTTGAAAAATAAATTAAAAATAATTACCCGAAAAATTTGTGTAATTATTACCTTCGCCACCCCAGATTCAGCCGTCACTGAATAGTTTTTATGAATAATTTTTATTAAATCTAATAAAGCTCAAAAAGTTCAGTATCTGTGAAAAATTTCGTTAATTTATCTACCGTTTCTAACTCTTGATTAAAAAAATATATTCAGAAGCGTATTTTTGACACCCAATATCTCAAAAAACGAAGCGTTTAAAAGTATATGTTCATAGGAAGTTTTTTTATTATTTCAACGAGTACTATACACTGTTAAATTTTCCGTATTAAAAAACGGACCACCCTGTATATAACACACGTGGATGCGAGTTTTTTTACATAAAATGTGGTTCCTCTGATGATACTTGGTGATGTGTATATCTCAAAATATTTTGTTGGGCAAGAATTAACCCCACAGGAACAGATCTATGGAAGAAACTCTCATCCACGTGTGTTTTGAAAGAGTTATGGTTTTTTTCCGAAATTCACAAAAAGGGGTCCTGTGGGGTTTATTCTTGCCCGACAAAATATTGTGAGATATTCAAATCATTGAGGACCCTTAGAGGAATAAACGACATATTTCGGAGGATTTAGTAATTTCACGGCCAGCTATGAGTATAAATTAGTAATAAACGACCATTGGTGGTATGGCGCGCACCTCGAAAAATTGGCGAAGTCGTGGCTGGAACTCGTGACTGGTTTCACATTGATCGTTTTAGCCACCTTCAAACTATATTTGCTATCTCACCATTTTTATGAACTGTGGCAACGCCGCTTCGTTCTCCGCGATTCTCCCTGTTTTATATGCCTTCCATGGCAACTAGCTCTGGATGAGTAAAATGTTTAATGGAAAAAGGTGTCTTGTCCCAAATCTTATTCTGATCGCGGGTTTAAATTCAATGTATTAATTTCGATAGTTGGACCATAATTAGTTCAGTCCAACCTTGTTTGATATGCCAGTGGATGAACTGGATATAAAAAGATCAGCCTCTGTACAAAATTTTAGTTATTATAGGTAATGCACACTTTTTTCAGGACACCCCGTTTAAGGCCGAGTTTGGCAATCCGATGAGAGTAAAATTTCGAAACATTCTGAAAATTAGTCGCATGGCATCACACACTAAAACATCAGTGAAACAACAATCTACCAGGTAAAATTAGTTTTGAAAAAGTAACTAGATGTCGGAGTTATTTGGCGACAGTGGCAACATTGCCAATAGTGGCATGTAGACCATAAATGTAAACAACATGTAGACCGAGATGTAGACCCAATTTTTGAATCATATGACAATATTGACAATATCTTGGTTAATTTTCATACTTTTCCTGTGTCTCCACTCATGATTTAAAATTCTCCAACTTCATGAGTAAAAATGTACCAATGGATTTATTTTCGACAGTAGTTGCCGATGAAAAGGCAGAAAATTTGTGTAAATAAGTTTTGTTGAAGGGTTTTTTAGAGGGTTTTTTGAATCTTTTTTCTGTCTGATAGAAAGACAGGAAATGCACAAATTATAATCATGTTTTGATACAAAAATTGACTTCACATATCGAGCTGAAAATCGAATTATCACAATTTTTTAAGATGATTTCCACTTACCCTGTATTCAACCCGAAGTAATTCAAAATTACCTTCCATTGTTCAATATTTCATATTTCACACTAGGGTACGAAATCAAAATATTTTCGATCTTTTTAAAGAGATTCACAAACTTCTAAAAATACTACAAACAGTACAAATCTTACGCAAAAGTAAAGGTTACATTCTCACTTCTTCTTTTTTATCAGTCTGGGCTCTGGGCCTTTTCAGGCCTGAGCTACTATGACTATCAGCTACCAGCTATAAATGCCATCATTGATTGTATCCGTATGAAACTGGCTGCCTGGCAGCTGCTAGGATTTTCCCAAGGATGTTTGACTGTATCTAGTAAAATAAGTCAAACATCCTTGGGATTTTCCATCTGCCAGAATTTACGAAGTTACCCGAACACCAGGGGCGTCACGTTTTTTAATAAAAATTCTATCTGGCTGTCTGGCAGCTTGGCAGCTGCTAGGATTTCCATCTGCCAGAAATTCCGAAGTTACTCAAAGACCAGTGGAGTCACGTTGTTCAATGAAAATTGAATTATCATGATTGAATATTTTGAATAAATGTCTCATTTCCAGAAAAAGGCTGATAATAGCAGAGAATGATCATAGGTATTGGAATCGATATTGTTCTCCACAATTGAAAGCAATAGGAAAATATTAAAAATATGATAATTGATTGACTGAACAATAAAGTATTAACATTTTGTTACACTTTTAATCAGGATAGTTAGAAGGCTTTTTTAGGTCTTTCTGACATTGTTATATTTTATCAAACTTGTGAAATATATAGAAAAACCAATTCTTTGTGTCGAAACAATTACTTGCTGATGGGGTTGAGATGCCATTTCACTCTTGAAAAGGATATTATATTTAAAAAAGTTAAACCTATAGTACTTTCTAATCGACTGTTAGGATGAAATGTGAAAAAAAAACAGTTATTCTTTGTGACATATTTTATCATGTCTATACGAAATAATTTCTTGCCAATGGGGATAAGTTGACGTTTCACCCCCAAAACGAATATTATTTTTTGAAAAAATCAAATCTAGTATTTCGCAATCGACTGTCAGGATGAAATATATGAACACGTCAACTCATCTCCATTAGCAAGAAATTATTTCGTATAAACTTACGTATAAATAAATATGATCAAATATGTCACAGAGAACTGTTCTTTTAATATTTCATCCTGACAGTCGTATGCAAAGTACTAGATATGATTTTTCCAAATATTATCCGTTTTAGGGGTGAAACGTCAACTCATCCCCATTAGCATGAAATTATTTCGTATAAATATGATCAAATATGTCACAAATAAGAACACTGTTTGGTTTCATATTTTATCCTGACAGTCGAATGCGAAGTGTACTATATATTTATTTTCCTCAAATATTATCCGTTTTGGGGGTGAAACGCCAACTCATCTCCATTAGCAAGAAATTATTCCGTATAAGTTTTATCAAATGTTTCACAAAGAACTGTTAATTCTTCATATTTTATCCTGACAGTGGAATGCGAAGTACTAGGTTTTTGATTTTTTCAAATATAATAATATTCCTTTCAAGAGTGAAATGGCATCCCAACCCCATCAGCAAGAAATTGTTTCGACACAAAGAATTATTTTTTCTATATATTTCACAAGTTTGATAAAATATAAAAATGTCAGATAGACCGAAAAGCCTTCTAAATATTCTGATAAGAAATGTAACAAAATGTTAATACTTTATTGTTCAGTCAGTCAATTATCATATTTTTATTATTTTCGTATTGCTTTCAATTGTGGAAAACAATATACATTCCAATACCTCTATGATCATTCTCTGTTATTATCAGCTTTTTTCTGGAGATGAGATTTATTCAAAATTTCCAATCATTATATTACAATTTTCATTAAAATCGCGACTACACTGGTCTTTGGGTAACTTCGGAAATTCTGGCAGATGGAAATCCTAGCAGCTAGCTGCCAAGCTGCCAGACAGCCTGATATAATTTTCATTAAAAACGTGACGCCACTGGTCTTCGGGTAACTTCGGAAATTCTGGCATATGGAAATCCTAGCAGCTGTCAGGCAGCCAGCTTCACATGGCTGTCAATTGTCAGGAATGTCAGGTTGTTATCGTCGTTTGGTTTGTTTATTTTTGTTCCGTGATTCAAATTTGTTATTTATTTCAATGGGAAACAAGATTATTAGGAAGGTGATGATTATAATTTCCTAGGTGATATTTCATCCCCCAATTCTCACCCCAAGTGTGAGTAATCGATAATAACATGGAAACAAAAACCCGTCCAAATTTCTGGTGGTTGAAATCGGCCCCGACAACGCCCGCACCAACAACAGAAAAAGACGGGAATTTATCAGTTCCTAAGCTGAATTTGCGTCCGTCCACTTCCTTAGTAGACCTTTTGGAAAAAGATAAAGAGAACGTTGAATCTGATGTAGATGTGGGCAGTATCATAGAAGAAATAAACAGAGTGGCAGCACAAAGTCCCCTGGGTCCTTATGAAAAGCCCCTTGGTGATAGAAGCATAGACGATCTGATGAAAGAAGCAGAAAAGATCTACCTAGAAAGTTCAAAGAGCTTTGAACAGTTGAGTCAGAGGAGCAAGACCTCCCAAAACATATCAGATTTGATTTCAAAGGATTCTACACCTACTCCACAAAGTTTGAGTCCATTGCCAATGGATCCAGAGCATAGTGAAGATGACTATTCAGAAGATTTTTCTGAGGAGAGTAAACTGGAAACAACTCCACCAGCAAATAAAATCATTGAGCTGGTACAAGAAGAGACAAATATAAAAAATGATAAGGATAATAATCCAGATAATAATATTGACACTAATAGAAGCAGGGAAAATGTATCAAGCATTTCGAGGTCTAAATCAGTAGCAACTTTGAAAGATTCACAAAGTATTAGAGATAGAATGATTAAGAGTCTGTCAGCTAGTCAATCTTTAGGTCATAGTTTAGTTGTAGATTCTGCCAAGTTCCACAAAGATGAACAGTTTGAGCAAATTAAGTCTGAACTAGAATTGAAGAATAATTTGATAAGTACTTTGGAGGAGAATAATAGGAGTTTGAAATTTGACATGGAGGAAGTAAAGGTATGTGAATATTTTTTCAATTTAACTGGATTTCAACTTTTTGCATGTTTACCATTTTGATTATTTTCAACTATATTTGGTTTTCAATAATATTTTCTCAATCCCAGAGATTTACCACACTGTCCCAGACACCCTGTATATATCAGAAAATTTGTTCAGAGGGATGGTACCTAAATATCTACTAATCAATGGAAATATCATGAATTAGATTGGATCCCTTGGTATAAATTGGTATTAACCAAGGTATTAACAAAAATAAAACAATTTTGATTTTCTAATTTATTGTCAAGTAAGTATATCTACCTATATAAAAATATAAATTATAAATATGAACCTAGAAAAAATAGTGGATTCAGGCTTTTTGAGCTGCTTCTGCTATCACACGTACTGCTGCTAGGGCTTCTTTGGCTGTTGGTGAAATATATGAGGCAGGCAATACAAATCCATACCTAGAAGAATAGAAGAAAATAACATTCTCAAGAATATCTGTTTTTGGAAATCAGTTTATTGTGATGTTATTTTTGGAATTTAGTTTATTGCTTCATTGTCATCAATAGACCTGAAATCTACAGAGTGATTCACACAGGCCACATATTGAAAATTTTCCAACTTGTAGGTGGATTAAATACTTGATAATTGCTATTAGACCAGGGCCAATAATTTTTTAAACAAAAAAAAAAATAGTAAATGGAAGAAAAAATAAATTTTGGTCAATCTTAGGTCTGGATGTGGAAGGATGTGAGCTTCCAAGGTTGAAAAATAGTCAATCTAGATTTCTGGTGAAACTAAAAGTCCTATGGCAAAGTTGTAGCTAATGGAAAGATCTATAACTCTTGTATATACAGGGTGTCCCTAGACCAGTGGGACAGTTGAATATCTCCTGAACCAATAGGAATTTTCAAAATATTATAATTTCACATCATATCGCATTATGAGTGCTAACTTCAGGAATGACTATATTTTCTACGAGGTGCCCAAGAAAGGCTCACAAAATCGAACATAATTTTTTTCAAATGGAACACCCTGTATTTCATTGCATTTTCATATTCTCCTTGAAGAGCTGAATTCAACGACCTAGCACACTTGGGGTCTAGCGGGAATGATTTCCGAGATATAGGGTGTGGAAAATCGAGATTTTTCATTTTTGGGAATTTTTTGTGTCAAAACTATTCATTATTGGTCAAAACGGCTTACATGTCCATATCTCAACTTTTGATTTACTATTTACTCGTATTTAATTGAAACAAATACAGGGTGGTGTAGAATTCTCAGTTTCAGTCTGAATTCTACACAACAAATTCCCAAAAATGAAAAATCTCGATTTTCCACACCCTATATCTCGGAAATCATTCCCGCTAGACCCCAAGTGTGCTAGGTCGTTGAATTCAGCTCTTCAAGGAGAATATGAAAATGCAATGAAATACAGGGTGTTCCATTTGAAGAAATTTATGTTCGATTTTGTGAGCCTTTCTTGCGCACCTCGTATAAAATATAGTCATTCCTGAAGTTAGCACTCATGATGCGATATGATGTGAAATTATAATATTTTGAAAATTCCTATTGGTTCAGAAGATATTTAACTGTCCCACTGGTCTAGGGACACCCGGTATACACTTTCTTCAAATAACCTATAAATTTGTATGAAAAATTCAAATGAGTAAATAAGTTTTTGGTTTTTTATTTTTATCTTTTACAAACATTATTTTTCACGGAATTTTGTGAACAACTTTCCTTCTTATGTCCCAAACACACTATGATTCTTTTGATTTGAAATAGTCCTTTTTTACCTCATTTTCTCGCGTCAGAATATCTAATTTTTCAAAAAAGTCAGTGGGCAGGTTGTTTGATGGTGTGAAAAAATATACAGGGTGATCCACGGTGGATGGCCAATTAGAAGGATCTGGAGAACAAAAAGACAGAACATTCTGAAAATTGGGATGCTTTGATAATTGAACATTCTCTATCCCCGTCTATCAATCAATCAATCAATCTGTGCTTTATTGTCCAAGAACATTTTTCTTATTGACAAAGCTTGAAAGATACATGTAGTGGAACGATCCATTTCGTCAAAAAAAAAAAAATAATAATACTTTTTATCACAGTACAGTACAAAATAAAATAGGTATAACTATACATAATGTATAGGAAGTTATCAATTAAAATTATATATAATATTTTCATCGATACAGTGTTGCCACTTCTATCAGAAACATCTAGCAACTTTGTTATTTAAAATGGAACACCCTGTATTTTATTGCATTTTTAGATTCTTCCTGATTTCATCAATGCATCACACTTGGGGTCTAGCAGGAATGATTACAGAGATATAGGGTGTTCAAAATCGAGAATTTTCAATTTTAGGATTTTCTTGTGTGGAAATTATTCATTATCGGATAAAACGACTTACATGTCCCTACCTCAACTTTTGATTCACTGTCTATCAGAATTTAATAGGAAAAAAGAAAAAAATACAGGGTGCTTCAAGATGCAGAATTCTGATCACCCTGTATCCAATTAAATGTCAGTAGATAGTGAATCGAAAATTAAGATAGGGACATGTAAGCCGTTTTGATCGATAATGAATAGTTTCGACACAAAAAAATCCTAAAATTGAAAAATCTCGATTTTGAACCGTTTTGAACACCCTATATCTCTGTAATCATTCCTGTTAGACCCCAAGTGTGATACATCGATGAAATCAGCTCTTCAGGAAGAATCTAAAAATGCAATGAAATACAGGGTGCTCCATTTGAAATATCGAAGTCGCTAGTTGTTTCTGATAGAAGTGGCAACACTATATCGATGAAAATATTTTAGACGGATAGAGAATGTTCAATTATCAGAGCATCCCAATTTTCAGAATATTCTGTTTTTTCGTTCTCCAGATACTTCTAATAGGCCATCCACCGTGGATCACCCTGTATACATTACTTAAGTATGTACATGTTCTCACAAAATGCCAACAGAATAACTGGTAGTAAGGCCCAGCAGTCCTAGCCCCACTTCTCTATGAAATACTTTATGATGGGCTAAAATTGTCCACAGAGATCACTCAGGTATACAGGGTGGGCCACTTACCATGCTCACCATGGGTATCTTTTCAACGGAGATACGAGGTCGGTTAAATGACACCAAATGTGGAGTTTGTCAAGGCCAACTATAATGTGAAAAAATATTTAGATAAAATCTATTCGTTTTTGTTTTATACGCAAAAAACAGATTTTGATCATTTTCATGTCTCCTCCGTAACTTCTTTATTAATGAAAATATTCAAATAGGAATTTCACATTCTCATGGCAGTTTTTCAAAATGATTTCGAAAAAATATGAAATTTATACCAACTCTTCTAGAATTTGAGATATCAGCACCAACTCTAGTTTTTCAAATGTAGGTCATAGCTCACTATGACTTGGTTACAAATAACTTTTTTCTCTCTTACAGATGATATGTCGCAGTAATAGTTTTGTATTGATAACAACGGAGTTATCGTCATTTATACAAAAACAAAAAATTATTTGGAAGCCGCCATCTTGAATTAATGAATTATAACAAAAAAATCATGATCTCCGACTTCAAAAACCCCCACTTACCAATTTTGAATGTAATGGGACCAAATCTTGTCCGCCATCTTGGAGCAGCCATTTTTTTTAATTTCAACAAAAATTCCATAATGAATTGTCACCGAAATTATGAACACCTGCCAAATTTCAAGTAAATCGAGGTTATGGAATTTTCGCTGAAATTAAAAAAAAATGGCTGCTCCAAGATGGCGGACAAGATTTGGTCCGATTACATTCAAAATTGGTAAGTGGGGGTTTTTGAAGTCGGAGATCATGATTTTTTTGTTATAATTTATTAATTCAAGATGGCAGCTTCCAAATAATTTTTTGTTTTTGTATAAATGACGATAACTCCGTTGTTATCAACACAAAACTATTACTGCGACATATCATCTGTAAGAGAAAAAAAAGTTATTTGTAACTAAGTCATAGTGAGCTATGACCTACATTTGAAAAACTAAAGTTGGTGCTGATATCTTAAATATTAGAAGAGTTGGTATAAATTTCATATTTTTTTCGAAATCATTTCGAAAAACTGCCATGAGAATGTGAAATTCCTATTTGAATATTTTCATTAATAAAGAAGTTACGGAGGAGACATGAAAATGATCAAAATCTTGTTTTTTGCGTATAAAACAAAAACGAATAGATTTTATCAAAATATTTTTTCACATTATAGTTGGCCTTGACAAACTCCACATTTGGTGTCATTTAACCGACCTCGTATCCCTCACCGTTAAAAAGATACCCATGGTGAGCATGGTATGTGGGACACACTGTATAAGTTATATCAAAAAGCAATATATAGGACTCTATGCATATAATTCAAAGAAGACTCCTACTATTTTCCCAAAATATTGTAGATGTATTATTAATTAATATCAGCCCAGATATTAACTAACTACTTATCTGTTATTTTGTTTGCATTTTCTGAGAACATTTACCCAAGTGACACTGACTCATGGTACACCCCCGTTTCTCCTTTGTTTTTCTAGCTATATTTTTGAAATTTGGAACATTGAATATGCTCACTAGAGGGTACTTTCTCACATTTTAGGAAATTTTGTTCATCTTCCGGTTTTCCTCGAAATGACATTAACTTTCGATTTTCAAATGGAACACCCTGTATTATATTCCATAATCGGTTAAAGATTGTTATGATAATTCAACAATACTGGGTTTGATTGGGTTATTTCAAAATAATGAAAATATTCGCGTTCGAAGTTACCATAAGCTTAATGAGCGATTCTATTCATTGAACCATGTTTGTCGTTTAGGATTGTTGGAGTATACTTTTCATTGTTTCATGAATGAATCGCGGTGTCTATCTATTTTAATTTAGTACTGAGCACTAGCCCGCAAATGTAGAAGTATCTGTTATTAACCCCACCATTCCCGATTTCATTCATTCATCTGTGTTTGGCGTTCAGGATTTTCAAC